GTTGGTTCAGCTGTCATAAGTGGGAATGTCATTGACCAAACTTACTGACCTGGAAATACACCCACACTTTTTCCTCTCTAGTTAGCATACATATAATACCCCTACATCGGTAGTCTCCGGCTGCCGGCAGCTATGTAATGCCCCACAGATCTGAATTTTGAAGAGATATGAGAGATTCAAGAAAGGATTATTGTTTTCCAATCTAGTGGTGTGTGTGTGTGTGTGTGTGTGTATGTATGAAATAGAAGTTTAAGGACTTTAGCCACTGCCATGGAAACTGATTTTTTTTTTTTTTTTTTTTTTTTTGAGACAGTTTCTCTGTGTAGCTCTGGCTGTCCTGGAACTAACTGTAGACCAGGCTGGCCTCTGCCTGCCTCTGCCTCCCAAGTGCTGAGAGCAAAAGTGTGCATCACCACTGCCCACTCATAGCCTTGAACTCAGAGAGATCTGCCTGCTTCTGTCTCCCAAGTGTTGGGATTAAAGGTGTGTGCCACCACGCCCAGCAACCTAAGTGATTTTGTTTGTTTGTTTTGATTTTTGTTTTTTCAAGACAGCATTTCTCTGTGTAGCTTGGCTTTCCTGGAACTCGCCCTATAGACCAGGCTGGCCTCCATCCGCCTGTCTCTGCCTCCCTAGTGCTGGGATCAAAGATGTGCTACCATGCTTGGCTAACCTAAGTGATTTTGTTGTTTTGTTTTTTGAGACAAGGTTTCTCTGTGAAGCAGTCTTGGCTGTCCTGGAACTCACTGCAGATCAGTCTGACCTCGAACTCACAGAGATCCTCCTTCCTCTGCCTCCCAAGTGCTGGGATTAAAGGTGTGCACCACCTCTGCCCAGCCTGTGATTTTTAATTAAATTATTTCATATTAGAATGATGATGAAGTAAAATAATTGTATTCAGGCATTCAAGAAATGCTAGTTGGTCTCTTCCTTTCCTTGACAAGTTAACCGGCTATCGGTTTCTCAATCCTGGATTGTGACATTGGATCTGATTGTATTTATGCTTACTGCCACTAAATTTTTTTTTAAAGAAGTATTTATTTTTATTTTATGTATATGTGTGTTTTGCTTGCATGTATGTATGTGTGCCACATTTGTTTCTGGTGTCCACAGAGACAGAGAGGGCATTGGGTCCCCTAAAACTGGAGTTAGGGATGGTTGTCAGTGACCACCTGGGTGCTGAGAACGGAACCTGGGTCCTCTGCTGAGCAGTCTCTCCAGCCGTAATGCCACTCATTTTAAACTTTCTTTATGGAGACTTTGTTTTGCATTCTTGCTGTATAATCATATAGGTAGGAAAATTCAGGATTACTCTTGACTGTTGGTTTTGAAAGAAAAATAAATCATTTGACATATCTTTTAACAGAAGACAGATAACTTTCAAGTAAGTTATAAGTCTGCTAAAATCATATATATATTTTGTTGGTTTTTTTTTTCCTCTCAAGTATTTTATTTCTTAGTCCATTCATAAACACAGTTTTTAGTGTTGTTTGTGAGAGATTTTAAAGAATGAACTATATCCTACTAAGGATAAAGATATCTTTAAAACTCTGCAAACTGCAAAAATGAACTGGAATTTTCTGTCTTGTTTGGCATTTGTTTATTTCATTGGCTTGTGACAGTCTTTTTTATTCTGAGTGAGTCTCAAAATTGCTCTGTAGTTGAGGATGACTTACAACTTTTGATCTTCCAACTGTGGTGTTTGCCTCCATGTATGTATGTGCACCACATGCCTGGTACCTTCAGAGGACAGAAGAGGGAGCTGGATCCCCTAGAACTGCAGTTATGGATGATGAGCCACCATGTAGGTGCTAGAACCCGAACCTGGGTCCTCAGCAATAGCATCGAGTGCTCCAAACTGCTGAGCCATCTCTAGACCCAAAAGTTATCTAAATTTGCTGTTTAAAGTGTGTGTGTGTGTGTGTGTGCTAGTACCCATCCAGGCCAGAAGAGGGTGTCAGATCCCCTGGGACTAGAGTTAGACAGTGGTAGCCTTTATGTGGCTGCTGGGGATGGAACTCGGGTCCTCTGGAAGAGCACCCCTGTCTCCAGCCCCCACCACTACATTTTGAGTTCTGGGATAACAAATGTGTATTACCACTCCTGGTTTATGGTAGGGATTGAACCCAGGAATTGTATGCTAGGCGAGCACTCTACCAACCCTGGAAGGTTTTTTCTCTTTCTTTCCTTCCTTCCTTCCCTTTCTTAAGTACAGTTGTAAGTTTGAATCAAGAGCCATAGGCTATTTAAGAATCCAAGTTGGGCATGGTGGCTCAGGCCTGTAATCCTAGCATAGAGAGAATGAGGTAAGAGGATTCCTGTGAGTTCCACACCAGCTTGGGCTATGTAGCTAATCCTTGTATCAGAAAACCAGCAGGGGGCTGAGGATGTATGTAACACACTAGGTAGAGTGCTTTTCTAACATTCACAAAGCCACACAGAAGAGATCAGGTTTGGTGATAATTCCAGCACTTGGGAGGAGAAGGCAAGTCAGAAATTGGAAATCATTCTCTGCTACACAGAGTATGAGGACAGCCTCTGCTACCTGAACCCAAGTCTCACTTTGTCTCCAAAGATCAAAAAAGCCTTTGGCCAACAAAAGTGTATCACTGCCACTCCTGCAGATCTGGGTTCAATCCCTGGGACCCATATGTAGAAGGACTCATATATATGTGCATGCCCCCCCCAAAATAAGTGTGCTTTTTAAAAAACCATTAAAGTTTTTTAACTCTGCCTTCAACTCCGTTGATGAGGATAGAATCTAGGGCTTTGGATTATGCCAAATTCTTATCACAGAGCTAATACAGTTTTTCATTTTAATGGGAATTTCATTTTTTCCCCAGGCCTTTAACTAGACTGGGAATTGTCATTTGATCAAGGGGAATTTCCAGACCCAAGAATTAAGACAGTTTTGATCCATGACTTTAATTTTTTTTAATATAAACCTTTTTTTTTATATGTGTGTAAGTACACCACTTCCATGCCTTGTCTTTAGAGGTCGGATCTCTGAGTTATAGGCAGTTATGAGACACATCATGTGAGAACTGGGAACCGAACCGGGGGTCTAATGCAAGAGCAGTAAATGCTCTTAACTGCTGAGTGGTCTCTCTAAACCCTGATCCATTATTAAATATGCTGGTTTAACTATTTGCACCTAAGAGGAACCAAGGACCCTGGCAAGGCTCCAGCTAGTTTTTCTGCATTTTGATTAACATTACAGGAAGATTGTTGAACTGAAATTTATTAAACACCTCAATGCATTAAACATTAAACATACCTAGTGACAGACAGTAAAGTAGGTCAAACAGTGGACATGGAGTGGAGCAGATACCTCAATGTCTTCTCCATGTCTATAGAGTTCTCTTTAATGGAAGTTTAAGCCTGGCTTGCGATTTTCAAAGGGACAGGAACAAGAAGCAGGAAAGTAGTCTAAACTGAAGATGAAGATACAGGTTTTTCAGAAAAGACGTGAAATTTTACACTGAGGGTCCCATCTAAGGTAAATAGATGTGGTAACGGGAGGTTTGGGTGCCAGAAAGTTAAGGTTTCTGAGATATTCTGAGTAAAGATGACCCTTGCGGTCCCGGGGTAAATGAGCGTTGACTGCCTCTGAGCTGCATCCAGAATCCATGCAGCACAGGTGACAGGAGAGAGAAAAGGCATCCCGCCACACACGGTCAGGCCCGGGGGTGGACTGCAATTCCCGTCGTGCTCCACGTGAGAGCCGCCGGCCGGCGCAGGCGCGCTGCGAGCTGTCTCTGCTCTGCAGACTCCGGGCGGGGCTGCTGGTGCCCTCAGGACGGCGCCGCCCTCCAGCTGCTCCCCAGACTTCTCCGGACGGTTAACCTCGAATGAGGAACGAGCGGGGCGGGAAGGGGAGGGCTGCGGCGGCGCGGGCAGAGCCCGCCGCGCCCGGGGCAGGGGGCGGCGAGGTCACGTAACGGCCTCGGGCGTCTGCCGGGGAGGGGGCCTCGTGCGCGCCGCGGCTCCGAAACAGTTAGCGGCTAGTAAACAACAGCTGCGCGCGCACCCGCATCAGCTGGCGCGGGATCCCGCACCTGCGACCTCCTCCTTCTTAGCCGCGACCAGCCTGCGTGGCCGTCTTCTCGGCTGAGACCCAAGGAAAGCCGGCGAGAGGCCACCCGCGCCGGGCCCGGGGAAAAACGCGTCCTGTCACACGCGGCGCAAACACGGCGAGCGGTCGTGGGCTCCAGGGACTCGCGACGACCTGCCACGACCCGGAGCTGCTGTCGGAGCTGCCCTGATCCGCTAGCCGCCGCCTGCAGTTCCTCTGCCAGGACGAGATCTCCGGGAGGCAGGAATCCACTCTGCCCCGGCATCCTCTCGTCGCTGCCCTCTTTTTCTCTCCATCCTGTAGTGTGGGGGTATTTTTCCCGTTATGCATGTGCATCTCTCCCACCAGACCCAAGTGGATTGTCGACCTCAAAAACATCGGGTGGCTCAGCACACACCTCCTCCCAGCCAGACCTGTGGGGTATTCACCTGATACACAACAGGTGGCCAGTGCACACCTTTTCGCAATCTGATCCACGCTATATATTCGTCTGATAAGGGTGGGCCTGCATGCTCTTTCCTCAGAACCGTGGGACACTCAGCAGAGAAAGGACTAACTACCTCATCAGGACCTGGGGGTTGAGCAGAGGGAGGCATCACCAGCTGCTGTGAGATCATGGCACGAAGCCCTCAGCCCTGGACCAGGGGAGATAGCCTAGGATTCTGAAGGAACCAAGTCACGCAAGATTAGCATCGATTTGTTCTCATTTTGTTTTTCAAAAATTATTTTTCAGTTAACTGCTGGTGCACTTTATAAAACAGTTGGCTAGAATTTCTAAGTAGAAGGATTCTTAATTGGGCCTTTGTGGGATGTAAATCAAGGTAATTGAGGGTTTTTTTTTTTAAGTTTTCTATTTTTGCAATCAAAAGTAGCTAGTGTAGGAGGAAGAGTTTTTGTGAGCGTTTCCTTTTTCTTTGTAAAAAAGAGGGGGGAAATGCATCCTCCAGAAGTCACCACCAAGATGTCTTCAGTTCGGTTCATGGTGACACCAACAAAGATTGATGACATTCCAGGTTTGTCAGACACCAGCCCAGACCTCAGCTCTCGATCTAGTTCGCGAGTAAGATTTAGCTCCCGAGAAAGTGTGCCAGAAACAAGTCGTAGTGAGCCTATGAGTGAACTGTCTGGGGCCACTACTTCTCTGGCAACTGTTGCCCTAGATCCTTCCAGTGACCGGACTTCTAACCCCCAGGATGTTACCGAAGGTAAGTAGAAACCCAGAGGACGGGGTCTTTCAACCCCTGGGTTGTTCACGCAGGATAACTACCTACTCCATTTTATAATGATCACCAGGAATTACGGCCCCCTTTTCTGTGATGCTAGTGACCAGAGTAGGTCACTGCAGTAGACATTTGGCGTTTGGGAAGGTATCTGGCAAGAAGGCAAGGAAAGGCATATTTTGATTTCCTTGTTTTTAGTTATAACTAAAGTGACTATTTTTGGTTAAAGACAAATAACAAAGAATTAAATAGCTTACAACACAGAGAATCCTAAACTGTAAAATTTAATGGGCCTGGGTATGTGCTTTCTCTAGATGGCTTTGAGGCTTTGACTTACAGTCGGTTTTTAAGGCAGGTTGCAAGGAGTAGTTACTGCTAATGTCTTAGTGGCTTCTTCCAGAGACTGCTGTGTGCCATAAAATGATTTTTTTTTAAATTCATGTTTTTATAGAGTGTTTAAAGTAGCTAAATTCACTCAAGGAGATGCTATTCTGTTGAATGGAACTTGCAAAGAGGCAGCTAATGCCCGATTCCCACATCACTTCACTGCTGAGCTTTAAACAAACTGTTTTGTGTATTTTATTGGGTTTTGTAGTCAGGACATCCAGGAGCCACTTCTGCTCATATTGACTGCTTCCCTGAGTTGACCTTGAACTTCGAAGACTGGCTTATGTTAGAAGTTTTCATTTGATTTGGAGGGAAAGGGGGATGCAAAGAGAGATAAGGTATCTTTTTCAAACTCAAGAAAAAAAGTTGGAGAACTGCCTTCTGATGAGTGTAATCTTCTAGTTGAAAAAAAAATTCCCTTTAGCATCCTAAAGACTCCTAAACATTCTACTCAAGTTTGAAAACATGGCCTTGGCCACTGACTTGTGAAAGCAAGAGTGACTTGCCATTTCCGGCTTCAGGAAATACTGTTCCTCCTGACCTTCAGTGTTCCGGAAGCCAGTTTTAGTTCCTCAATTTTGTTTGTTTTTAAATGTCTTGAGACAAGATATACTTGGTAAAGTTTATAGTTCTAGAATTCACTAATCCTTAGTCATTTTTTTATGACAGTATTATATGTCAATTCCTGGTCTAACTGCTTTCCACCGATTGCTAAACCTTACACTGGATTATACACACTATGTTAAAGTTAAAATATGGAATAAAACATTGTAATTTCCTCCTATGCCAAATTTTTATTTGATTTTTTTGCTTATATATTTATCTATTTTTGTGACAGGATCTCATGTAGCTCAGCCTGGCCTTAAACAGTCTATGTGGTCCAGGATGAGCCTGAACTCCTGATCCTCCAGCCTCCACCTCCCAGGTGCAGAGATTAAAGACCTTGTCAACCACACCCAGTTTTATGGGATGCTGTGGATGAAACTCAAGGCCTCTCTTGTACTCTCTCAACTGAGCTATATCCCCAGCCTGTACCAAATTACTTCCAAATTATAGTTTTAGTCTTTAATCCATCACACTACATTTAAATTATTAAAATGTCAGTTCAAAACTATAGTCCCTTCAAGGAGTTCTGATACCTCTTCTGCTTCAGTCCTGTGTTCTAGTCAATGAAATCAGGTCTTCTGTCCCTATATCCCTACTCTAGACCATGACTGCAGTATATGTATCACTTTACTTTGTTGTTTACATACTCTTTTCTACAATCCAATCAGGCTGTAAAGTTCTCAAGGACAGTTTTTACACCTAGTGTATAATGTGTGATGTCAGATCTATTTTGTACTCAATAGTGAGCTGAACTTCCAGACATATCCAAAGACACAAATTCAACAGAAGCTAAAAAAATAAAGTGATAAAAGGAGATGAAGGAGTTGCCACTATTGAAGCAGAGAAGCTTCTTCTGATGTGTAGTATCTAGAGCGGTGGTTCTCAACCTATGGGTCATGACCCCTGGGGGATTGTCAGTCCTTTTACAGGGGTTGGCTAAGACCATCAGAAAACACAGATATTTACATTTATGGAGTTATGAAATATCAGTGAAAATAATTTTATGGTTGGGGTCACCACAACATAAGGAACTGTATTAAAGGGTTGAGGCATTAGGAAGGTTGAGAACCACTGAGCTAGAGAATTGTTTTCAACATTTCTGTCCTAGTTCCATTTCTATAGATTCTGGTTTATTTATGTTAATATTAAAAAACAAAAACCTCTTTCAGCTGGTTCAGTTATGAAGCCAGTGTTGACCACAGCTCAGAGAGGAAGAATGATTAATACCACATACATGGAAAACACTTTCATGTCTGAGCTGGCATTTGAAAGGTGAACCAAAGTGCACCAAGTGGTTAAGGCACATCTAGCTTTTTCTTAAATGTTAAAGGACAGTCCAGAATATTTATCTATACTTGGAATCACTACATTGTAAGTGATTGGAATCACCACCCAGTTGCTCTCCCAGTTCTGTGATATGGTATGAATAGGTCTCATCCAGTCCCTAATGTGAGGGCTAAAGCGGAGTAGGAAACTTGGGAAGTAGTGTGTTTTGCTTTTCATAGGACTGTAGTTTTAAAATGCCAAGCACCTTTTTGTTTGTTTGTTTGTTTGTTTTTCAACAAGGTCTCATTATGTAGTCCTAGATGACCTAGCACTTGATATGTACACAAAGCTGGCCTTGAACTCACAGAGTAGTTTGCCTCTGCCTCCTGAGTGCTGGTATTAAAAGGGTGCACCACTATTCCTGGCTTCACCAAGCACTTAAAAATACTTTTCAAATAAACGTCTTCAGTGTTTCCTCCAAAGCCAAAACAAATGAATTTCACTGTGTATATGCTCTTCTTAGATATACTATTAATGCTTATTGACTACCTCCATGTTTTACTTTGGCTCCTTATGTGACATTATGTAAGGAAGTAAAATGGATAGCTTATTAAAATATTGATTTGGTACCCTTTTAGCTGGCTTGATAGCATTCTCTGATAGATTTTTTAAAAAAAGACATTTTGGTGTCACATATCCAAAACATTTGTATGGGTTTATGTATATACGTATGTGCAAGTGTGGGCATGGATGTGTAGAGGTCAAAGGTAACATTGAGTGTTGTCCTCTACACTTTACTTTTTAAAACAGGGACTCTCACTGAACCTGGAGCTTGCCTGTTTAGCCAGACTGAGGGGCTGGCCAGCAAGCCCCAAGGATCCACAGTGTTGATATCATAGACACACAAGGTTGCACCCAACTTTTCGTGTGAGTACTGGGGAATCTGAGCTGCAGTTCTCTTGCGTGCTTGGCAAGCACTTTGTGAACGATCCATCTCCCTGGCCTTCCAAAATATTTTGATTTTAGGTTACAACTGTTTTCCTCCTGCTCTTCACACCCAATATTAACATTAAACTTTGTAGTGTTCTACCGCCTCCTTGCTTATGGCATACCTTCTTAGGTACCTTTGTCCGTCCCTAAAGCTAGTAGAATTCTCAGGACAGCTCACGGAAGTGGGTAATTGATGAATCAACTGAAGATGCAGTTAAATTTGGTACAGCTTATTTTAAAACTTGATAATATAGCTGGGTGGCAGTGGTGCATGCCTTTAATCCCAGCATTCAGGAGGCAGAGCCAGGAGGATCTCTGAGTTCAAGGCCAGCCTGGTCTACAGAGCGAGATCCAGGACAGGCACCAAAGCTACACAGAGAAACCCTGTCTCGAAACACCCGCCCCCAAAAAAGAAAAGAAAAACTTGATAATATGCTAATACTACTCTGAGCCACAAAAGCCATTAGCCAAATCCAGAATATGAGAAATTTTATTTAATAACTAGATCCTTCAAAACATAAATGGCAAAGGGTAGAAGAAGAGTGATAAAGAGGGAAGCTTTTATAGATTTAAAAGAGCCACATCAATCAATGCAGTGTGTAGGTTTGGATTGACTCCTACAGTGACCAGAACAACTATAAAAAGACACTTTTGAGATAACGGGGACTGAGAATGATACTATGCATCTGTAATCCCAGTACTCAGGACAGTGAGCTAGAGGAATCAGTTGTGTCTGCAAATAGGCCACCAGCCTGGACAATGTAGTGAGACGCTGCCTCTAAAACAAATGAAAGTCACAGTAACTGAGGGAATTTGAAATACACGATATTAAAATGTTGGAGTATTTACAGGTAAGATGATATGCTCTAGCTTTCTCCCTCTGGCTCCCTTAATTCCCACTCTCCACCCTGACACACACACACATACACACACACACACACACACACACACACACACACACACACACACACACGAAGAAAAGAAAAGCTTGGAAAATGTTTACAGTTTATTGTTGTAAAAAGTACCTGAAGAGCCATTTTCTCAGCTTTTATCCTATAAATGAAAACTATAAAAGGTTGAGTTGTGCACTCAGGAGGCAGAGGCAGGAAGATCACAAGTTCGAGATCAGCCTAGGCAACATAGGCCCTTGTCAGAAAAAGCAAGGTGAGGAAATCCAGCTTAGTGGTAGAGAGTTTGCTTAGCACTCACAGGCCTTCGGCCTGACCCAGGACCACTTTCTCCCATTGTCCCTAAAAAGGTTTGAAAAAAAATTTTTTTTTTTTGTTTTTTTGAGACAGGGTTTCTCTATGTAGCTTTGGCCCCACTCTGTAGCCCAGGCTAGCCTTGTACTCACAGAGATCTGCCTGCCTCTGCCTCCCACATGCTAGGATTAAAGGTGTTTGGCCCCACCACCTGGCTAAGGTTTGAAATTTTAAGAGCTGGTTTAGTAGGGAGTGTTTTCTATACTAGAGGCAGTCCTAGAATATGGTAGCTATGGATTAAGTACCATCGATTGGTACAGTGATTGTGTCGACTTCTGATCTCCCAGCTGTAGTGTTCTCTTCCATGTCCCCACTAAAAGCCCACATGCTTTTCCTTTTGGTGGCCTGTTTATTTTCTTCAGACTCTCACAACTTTTTTCCTTTTACTGAAAATAGATTGGTTTCTCATACAGAATATCCTGATGTCAACCTTTACTAATGGAAAAGCACAGGGGATGGAAGATCTTCCTGGAG